GTTGGACATAGTAAATGTTTATTTTGTTTATAAACATTTACCATTGGATGTGTAGAACTTTCTTTTGCTAATTGATCAAGTGTATAACTTTAGTATTGACTTTTGAAATGTAAGCAAAACTGATCATATTTTGTGTAACTTTGAATCTTGAATTCATGGAATGAAAGTATTTGTATTTTTTATTTTTTATTTTTTATTTTTAACATTTTGTAAATAATTTATTTGCAATAGAAATTCATTAATATAATAATTAATTAATAATTATTTTTTAAATGTCATCCAAATTTTTGATGTAAATAAAAAATGGAAGATTCGTAGCTATTTAGGAACAAATAGTTTCGTATGAAATATGTTGGTAGTTAACGACGGAAACAAAAACAAAATATTTTGAGCTATTTAGGAACAATTACTTCTATAGGAAAATATGTTGGTGGTTAGCGACGNTTAAAAATTTATTAATTATGAAAAATTTTGGTGTTTATCGATGGAAACAAATACGAAATATTTTGTATCTATTTATGTACAATTGTTTTCGTAGTAAAAAATATGTTGGTGGTTAGCGACGGAAACAAAAACGAAATATTTGTAGCTATTTAGGAACAATTACTTCCGTAGGAAAATATGTTGGTAATTAGCGACGGAAAAAAATGGAAGATTCGTAGCTATTTAAGAACAATTAGTGCCTTATGAAAATATGTTGGTGCTTAGGGACGGAAACAAGAACGAAAGATGTGTAGCTAATTTAGGAACAAGTTATTAAACCGTCGTTAATCACAAACAAATCAGCGACTATATTTCCATCACCAATTAGCTACGAATGTTTCGTTGGTGAACAGAAACACCTTATTTCCATCCGTATTACCGACGGCTAATATAAATCTGTCGCTCATTTTACCATAAGGGTGTTTACCGTCCGATTTACGGACAGATGAATTCTGTCTCTAAAAGTTATTGCCAATGGATTTCGGGGCTTCAGCCACACATAATTCCTTCTCTGAAGCCGCATTTTTTGTAGTGTAAATTCCATGTTTGTGACACAAAAGAGGTGATTTTATTGTTATTTATACCAATTCTAAACTAAGGAAGCAATAAAAAATATTTTTTCAAATATATGAATGATTGTATTGGATTTCGAATATTCCTATTGCCATTTATTTTAATATGATTCATAATCTAGTCAATGTTGTATATTCATGACAATCGATAAAGCAAGTGTATTTAATTTCTCTTTTCAAAACAAATTAAGTCTATTCTAATCGTGACTCGGTCATATTTCTAGCCTGAATTCATATGACCAAAATGTATTAAATTGTAGATTATCTATGTGACTGCATATGAAATAAAGATTATTCCGAATTATATCTACATATGTTAATTTTGCCGTGTTCTAAACTTATTGTGAACCTTCCAACATACAACAAGCAACTACTTAATCGATTGGTGGCCAATCAATTAAATAATGCAACGTGTATGCAACTTCAATCAAGAAAATCAAGAAATAACTAAAATACTAGTTTTAAATCAAAACAAATATGCAATAGGGTTTATCATTCATCCAACATAATAGATAAACTTAGCTAATCATCCTAAATATTGAATTACACAAGAAAATATGAAATAACATCACCCAAATCAAGAAAGATGGACAATAGTGGAGAAATCCACTTTCTTAAATAAAATCTTGAAAATGGATGAGAAATCTTCAATAATTTTGTGAAAATTTGCCTTTGATTGATAAATTGGTATCGTTCTTCACCTCCAAAATATGTAGAATATATGAATTTTAGGTCTAGGGAGGTCCACCAACGTTCTGGTCGAGTTTTGGTATTTAAAAGTTGCAAAAAATATTGTATTTAATTGTAACTAAAACAAAAATAAGAAATATTGGATTTTTTCCCATTTTATATTGAGGCACCCACTTAGTAGAAACTAAGGCATACGCCTAAACCCTTTATGCAGCCTCAGGCATTTCAGAGCGCCTCCTTTATAGGGCAAGGCACACACCTATGCTTGTCCCCAAGCAACTTTCTGTATTTCTGTTATAACGTTCTCCACCGATATCCAATTGGGGTTATTCAAAGTGAATTGGAAATCTAACTTAAAGGGATACAATTCTTTTGGAAAATGTTGTTTTTCCAATTCGAATGTTTTCTATGTCAAAAAGGGTTTCAATCTAGGATTGAAAATTTGAAGAATAACTTTTCGGCTGAAACTTGATGTTTGATAATACTTTGATTATATTCATCCCTTTGAATTCTTTCTTCATTCAATTGACACATATCACTCTCGACTCTTCATCTTGAGGTTCGATAGAGCATTTGAGTATTTGCACTTTAGTCCCCTAACTTTAGATTTGCTTCATTTTAGCCCTTTTTCATTTTTTTTTCTTCTGTTTCGTCCAAACATGTTTTTCAAATCAAATCAATAAATAACAAACTCAGTAGTAATCCATCCGAAGAATAACAAAATATCATCATTTATGACCCTGAATAAGTGTAGAAACTAGGGGTGAACACGATTCAGTTTGGGCGGTTTGGGGTATATTTTCAACTCAAACCATTTAATGCAGTTTGGAAATTTTCCAAACCAAACCAAACCATTT